CACAACATTTGTAGTCAAAATGTGACTATTCTTGCAGAATATACAATACAACCTTCCATATAATTTTACGCAGAGGGTAAAGACTCTCAAAATACAGAGAAAAATCTTGAATACAAGAAGTTCAAGAAAAGAAGCCCAAGAGATATATTATAGTTGATAGAATTTTTTTGTAGCTATATTGATTCGGACATGATCTGCGTAAGCAAAAAACACTCAAGGGTTAAGGTAAAGTAACTTGATATATTATTACAAAGATTTATCAAAATGTGATTATTTATATATTTAGTTTTGATCCTTAAGAAAAACCACTGTCATAGATCATAATAAAATTTTTTAAAAAAAACTGAGTTTGCTTAGTGACTTTTCACATTCAGAATTTGTGATTTGACAAGTTATCAAGTGTGTAGTAGTTTAATGGCGCTATCTAAATCCATCTATAAAATGTGTTTTTAAAATTATTTAGTTCAAAATGGATCATATGTCAATCTCTCATTGAGGAAGAATACAAATTCAAACAATACGCAGTAAAAAAAGCCAGTTAGTTACAAAAACAAATCTCTCGAGTCCGAGGCTCAATTATTTGTCTCTTGGTAAAAAGGAAAAACTTAAGGCAAGTCAATGGGAGGGGCTATTTTGTCAATCTTCAAAAGGTTTTATGAGAAAAAAGCAATTTGGACTATCTTATAGGTTGATTATACAATTAATAAAACTAATTTAACAAATCCGGGTTCGAGTCGGGTATGGATTCGGGTTCTGTTTAGGGTCAAACAAACCCGAATCACTCGAGAAGAAAAAGGACTCTCGAGTTCTCGAATCGAGTAAAAATGGAGTCCGATGATCCCAAAATCCCAGAACAACCGATCAATCAGCCGCCTTCGTTACCGGAGCAATTATTAATCCCAACCTTTCTCGCAGGTTTTCACATTTCCGCTCTTCTTTTGGAGCTTTTTTCTTCGTCGTCTCTTTGTTCAAACGAAACCTGAAATGATACGATTCTGTGTTTGATTTATGGTTTCTAAGCTATTGCTACTGCAGAAATGGTCGATCGATTGTTGGGAATTTGTAACCAATCGTAGCTTGTGAGGTTTCCTAGCTTCCTGGATCCAAGAGATTCGTTACATATAGTGTTAAGAGCCCTTAGTTTTTGGTTGATCTATCTGTTATATATATACAAGCTTGATTATCTGAGATTTCTCTTCTTGTGGTGGATGGTTAAGACTCTTTTGAGGGTTTTAGAGAACACTAAATTCTGTATTTGCTTGACTCTTCAATTGCTTAAAGATTTGAGGATCATATAGTAAGAGGAAAGTTGGCATCTGAGATTTTGGATTATCGTATGCAGGATTAACTGGAGGAGGAGCTGGATTACTGTCGAAACATAGGAAAGCTCGTCCCAATATACCCGTTACTTACGCTACTAATTTCGCCATCGTTGCTGGTTGCTATTGCGGTAACTAATAACGCCTGCATTGTGGTTATGAAAACAACATTTTAGAATCGTATAAAGTGAAATTGTGACCCGTGAACAAATCTTTGTTCGTTTCACAGGGATTCGTGAATTGGTCAGAGTAACTAGAAAATCAGAACACGATGATTTAATGAATTCAGCCATTGGTGGTCTTTTCAGCGGTGCTTTATTAGGACGGCTTCAAGGTTTGATATCGTAATTAACTAGTTACGTTCAGTCATGAAATAGTTGAAATCTGTTTGATGTCTTTGTCTGCTTTCTTGTCCTCGTTAATCTGTGAGTTAACTCTCTAGTCTGACCAAGGAAGTGCTTTGTACTTTAACATCACGATTTAATAACCATGCTAGTTATATTATCCCATTTCACGTTGCGGAACGAATCTTTGAGCCGATTTTGGAACTAACGTTATGATCTTTCGCGGTTTTTGCAGGGGGACCCCGTGGTGCATTTCGCTACTCTATAATTTTTGCCACTTTGGGCACAGCATTTGATTATGCTAGCCTTAGAGCAAAACCTCTGATAGAGAGAGCGCGTAACATTGATTCAGTCAAGTTACCAGTGTGGTTTCCCATACAAATCCTCGACGAAGAAGCCCTTACGAAAAAGAAAGCCCAGGAACAGAAACTCTTCGCTGAAACCGCCATCCCTAGATTGAACAAAGAAGAATCTTGACATCCAGTAAAAAAAACGGGTCTTTATTTGATTATGATCTTTCGAGGAGCTATTTTGATGTCTGGTCTGAAATTTCGTTCTGGGTTTGTCGGTTTCGCGAACGTAGTTCTGGATTTTTAGATATGACATTGAAGGAGGAATTTTGACCTTTTAGATTCAGCGAGGGAAATAACCTTTCTTGTCATACAAGAAAACTTTGGGTGGAGAGAAGTTTGTTTGGTGACCTACACTACAAAGGATTATATAGACTTGTTTGATTACTTCTCGAATTTGGTTTTTTTTATTTGTTTATGGGTCTTGAATTCTCGGACCTAATCGATTAAGAAAATTTGGGTCAATGGGTGGAATGTCTTTAGACTCTTTACGACGGTTATGGAGGTCA